AGGCCGCGGGGCGCTGGGGTGGTCACAGGGTCACAGCATCATCCTCGAGTCCAGCCTGTGACCCAGCAACACCTTGTGGCACCGGGTGCCGCGTCCAGTCCTTCCTTGGGCACCTCCAGGGACGGTGAGTCCACCTCCTCCCTGGGCAGCCCGCTCCAATGTCTTATCATCCTTTCTATGAAGAAATTCGTCTTAAAGTCCAACCTAAATCGCCTCTGCTGCAGCTTAAATCTACGTCCTTATGTTCTGCCCCTCGCTGCCTGGGAGGTTTCCACACCTGTGCCCTGTGGCTCCTCTCTGTTCTTCCTTAGAGATGTAGGGTTTGATACATCAAAAGGAATCATATACCTGGTGATCTCTTCAATGGCTTGTTGTCAAAAGTAACTACTTCAGTGAAGTCTCTTCCAGCAGAATAAAGATAAAGTGTTACCAGCTGATTTAAGAGCTGCAATAACCTATAATACTACAGACAAACTATAGAGAAAGGTGCACATAAAAAACTAACATCTTTAAACAGAATGTTTCGTTCGAGTGGGTTTTTTCTTGTTAGAAACAGCATAATAAACTAGTCAGTTATAAGTTTATTAGAAACAGTGTTGTCCAGCTGCACGAGGTTTTTCCAGACTGTTCCTGTGCTCCAGTAGCTGAAGGGACCCAACAAGAGAGCTGGAGAGGGACTTTTTACAAGGCCATGTAGTGACAGGTCAAGGGGGAATGGCTTCAAACAGAGAGAGGACAGGGTTAGATTGGATATTAGAAAGAAGTTCTACCCTGTGAGGGTGGTGAGGCCCTGGCACTGGTTGCCCAGAGAAGCTGTGGATGCCCCATCCCGGGAAGTGTTCAAGGCCAGGTTGGACAGGGCTTGGAGCACCCCGGGACAGTGGAAGGTGTCCCTGCCTGTGGCAGGGGGTGGAACGAGATGATCTTTAAGGTCCCTTCCAACCCAAACCGTTCTATGACTCTGTGAGAAGTAAAGAGAATAAATTCACATGGATTTACATTCTGGGTAGGGATGTGGGCAGCATTTCAGTTCTGATTGCTCCAGAAAGCCAAAAAAACCAAACCAGAGGCAGATTTACTTTCACATTGGTAACAACAGTTCGTACTGTATGTACCCTGCACCAGACCTGAGCATTACCCTTGGCACAAACCCCAACATTTTCATGGCAAGAGTACTAAAAATGGCATTGCCTGCTGAAAAACACAAGCCATTCCAGTGAGTCCAGATACTGAAACAGTGATGAGTATTAAATTATTCATTTTTTAAAAATTGCTTAACAAACAATAATTCCTTGACAGTCTATATGCAAGTCTATACTTGTAGGGCCAGATCACCCTATTTGTTTTCAGCAGAAAACAAGATGGTAAGTTGTGAGTAAAACTTCATGATTCAGTATAACTGGATGCTGTTGAGGTTTTCCTGGTTTGTAATATTGTACCTGTCTTTTGCAGGGTAAACTTTTTGACTCTACGGTAACTGATGAAGGAACATGGACATTAGGTAATAACCTGCATCTGAAATGACATAAAGGCAGGAGAACTTCTCAATATGTGCTGCAGAAGAGTTTACCCCCCCCCCCTTTTTAATGGGACAGATTCTTCCCTGTAAATAGTTTTGTAAAAAGAACCATCATTATTGCTGGATTGAGGAACTGAGGTACTATAAAAGCCCTACAGATTAAAGTTAATGGGAAAATGCCATATCCTGGAAGGCCATAGTCAGTGGATTACAAACACTTGCATATAGGTGAGAAGTTTTTTGCACACCATCATTTAAAGGTAAATAATTATGGTACAGTTGTGTGGTCTGTGCCTCTCCATAATTGTTACTTTTCCTGGGTTTTTTTATCTCCTTCTCTTATGCATTATATTTTTGGAACGGGTGACAAAATCTGCAGTCCTAGAGAATCTAAAAGAAATTTAATAATCCCGCTAAGGTAGCTACATATAATTAGCAAAAAAAGCATATCTGATTGTTATATTATAAATACTGTAAAATAGTCAGCATGTTTTGGCAGTCATGTTTGTGGACTGTGCCTCTCACTTAATGTTTCCTGTGAAGAATTTTGTTTTCCATTCAATATTTCTTCTAAATATAGATTAATAATTTAGTAACTTAAGCATGAAAACTGGAAATGTTAACAAACATTGTTAAGCCCATCTTTTTCAGTATGTGAATAATTTTCAAAATACACTTACAATGCTGTATTTATTCACTTAAGTAGAACTAAGCACCCCACATGCTAACTTTGAAATCTGCTTCCAATATATTGTCTGTGGGCATGCACACTGTGTCTAAGCAAATTAACTATCCCTTCATATGTCCCTGAAACTTAGTTCTGACTTTTGTTGGTAATAACTCTCTGTGAAGCCTGACCTCAAATCATTATTGCCTTAGCAGAGGTGTCTGTATTAATAGATTAAATCTTTTCTCTGTTGTGAACCTCTTCAAGAGGTTAGTTTATGTTTGCAATAGAAGTTCTTATGCACTGTGTTTTAATGCCTTAAAACAACTTCAGGTCAGAAGGGGGAGAGATGACAGTGCAGGCTATCTTTGCTTCAGCCTTTTTGTTTCTTGTTAATGTTTATTTATTTATCAATAACCCAGTTGGCATTGGCATTAAGAATTTAAATTACTTCACACACCCCGTGCTTGTTAATGGTGAATTCACCAAAACAAAAAGACTGGCACACAGGACTGAGTCTAAAGGTTGTTCTCTGTGTTCTCATTCAACAGAAGACAGGCAGCTGATACGAATTGTTCTAATGAAGACAAATAGAGATGCTGGAAATTGTTGGAAATCTCTGTTAGAAAATGAATATGCTGCTGATCCTTGGGTACAGGACCAGATGCAGAGGAAGCTCACACTGGAACGATTCCAAAGAGAGGCAAGTTAAAGGACCATAAACTCCTTACATTTTGTGTTTGCACACAGAGGTTATGGCCAGGAAAGCTGAGCAAAATGGTTCTGCTGCCCAGTGCCATGGAAACATATGCTTTAGTTCAATATATATCAAATGCTTATAAGGCTTTATCACTGTACTTTCAAAAGGTTATTTTGCAGTGCCATGACAAATGGATGACAAGTTGATTATCATATGTCTTTGTTACAGTGGTAGAATATTACCAAGTGTTTTAGGCTTTTTGCTGGTTGGTTGGTTGGATTTGGGTTTTTTTAAGCATTGTTATTACAACTAATCTATTTATTGAAATTTTTTTTTCTTTTACCTCCATCAGAACCCTGGATTTGACTTCAGTGGGGCAGAAATTTCTGGAAACTACAGCAAAGGAGGACCAGACTTTTCTAGTCTTGAAAAGTAAACTTTATCTGTGTTCTTTTAGAGGACTTACATGTTACAGTTAAGGACTGGAATCACGGAACTGGTGAAGACTTCAGTGATCTCTTCAATGGATTGTTGTCAGAAGTAATTACTTAAGTGAAGAGAAGGTCTCCTCCAGCAGAATGAAGATAAAATGTTACCAGCTGATTTATAAGCTGCAATTACCTTATAATACTAAGGGACAAATTATAGAGAAAGGTGTACATAAAAAAACTAACATCTTTGAGCAGAATGTTTGGTTTGGGTATTTTTTTCTTATTAGAAACACCATAGTAAGCTAGTGAGTTATAAATCTACCCTTATGAAGGGACTGGATCATCTCCCTTATGAGGAAAGGCTGAGGAAGCCAGGGATGTTCAGCTTCGAGAAGAGACACTGTGAGGGGACCTCACCCATGTCTGTCAGAGGATGGAGCAGGCTCTGCTCAGGGGTGCCCAGCAAGGGGACAAGAGGAACGGGCAGGAACTGATGCCCAGGAAGCTCCACCCGAACACGAGGAAGAACTTCTTGCCTGTGCAGTGACAGAGCACTGGAACAGATTGCCCAGAGAGGGTGTGGAGTCTCCGTCCCTGGAGACATTCCAGAGCCATCTGGGCACAATGCTGGGCCACGTGCTCTGGGATGACCCTGCTGGAGCAGGGAGGTGGGACCAGATGGCCCCACCTGTGGTCCAGCCTTACCCATCCTGTGATTCACTGAAGAACAGCTGTTATAGTTAATATTTTCTTTTAACTTGTAACAGGAAGGATATTAGGATGGCTACAATTACACTCTCCCTTTGTAGCAGCCCTCTGAGAACTTGTAATGTCATTCTAAAAAGTGATTTAAATCAACTACTGTAAAACCTTATTTGAGGCAAGATATAATGCATTGTGCTGTCAAATATAGCACTAATTATTAATGCTTGCTACCAGGTAAGCAATGCTAGAAAACTAAAGGCCATGTGAAAATCTGAATATAGATAATTTTATGTGTTAATGTAATATAGTCTCCCCATAAAAATAATCAAGATTTTAAAAGTAAGAGAATACAAAGACTTTTCAAAGGAATAGGGAGGAGTCCCTAGGTAGGAAATGCTATCTTGCATTTATTCATTGCCAACACAGAATGTGCAAATTGTTGACAGTGTATCTAGAAAGCTGTACATTTTTGTATATAGTTTTAAATTTAATAGCCACATGGTAAACTCGGCTACTATTTTATACAACCTTTTGCATTTGCCAATGAGGAATTTTGTACACACCATTAAGGACACAGCCATGAAGCATGTCAACCACTTGGAATGGTTATGAACTATTAGATAAATAATGGAAGAGCCGAAGTCAAATTTGAACAGTCTAAGCTACTTAAGTAAGTCTTTTCAGTCTCGACACATTCACATCTCAAAGAATTTAGAGTAATTGGGGGGCAAGTTGAAAAAATTGTAATCAAGAACCTTGAGTTTCTCCTGTGGTTGTCCAGCCTTTCCCATGCAGCCACAACCTCTTAAAAAAAAAAAAAAACCAACAAACAGAAAAAACTTCTCCATAATGTCTTACCTCCTGCCTGGAAATTTTCCTCCAGGTACTGTTCGGGTGTAAGTCACTTTATAGGCTTCCTACTAAAATGTTTTATAACAAGAAAGAGAAAAGCTGCCCAGTTAAGCACATTTCAATGTTTAATTGAAAGGTACATATCTTAATATTGAGACAGGACAATGAGAATTGTTTCCTCTCCCAGTAGGCCGAGCACACCTTTGTCCAAATCCCTGGAGTGCTTTGCACAAGCCAGGACAATGCCCAGGGAGCTCTGGCAGGTGCAATACCCAATTACATGGTTCACGTGCAGTCACTCCCATGAGCTCGTGAGACTTGATTAGTCCAGGACAGAGCTTTGGTATGGAGTCTTGTGTGAAAGGTTTAACTGGTTTGAATGGTTTCCCCCTCAGCTGTTCCCATAATGGGGAGGGCTTGGCTGGCTAACACCTAAGCCCACACTCTGATCTCTCCTTCTCCACTACACTGGTCCAAATGACAATCAGTTTTCACAGCCTGTTGCTAACATCCCCCATCCCACAGTGATGCAGAATTCAAGAGGACATGAGCAACGTTCCCCCAGCACCTCTAGTCATCTAACATACAATAACACATTCCTATTATTCACTTCCTTGTTAGCACTAGAAGCACGATATGCCTCAAGTACTGATCTGGTCTGCAGAAAAAAACAGTTATATTTTACAAAGGTTACCATTAGAGATCAGAGTTGAAGCAATCTTCAGTGTTTCTCAACCAGATTGCTCCTACACACAGTCCAAGATGGGGAATTAGCCCTGTTCCTGCTGTGCCTGTGGCAATGTGCCTGTTCAGCATCAGCATTTACCTTTAGTACAGCAAAACTAATGTCAGATCTAGGGCATGTGAGCCAGTACTTTCCCTTGGCCTTCATTAGGTATCACAAAGTTTTACACTCTGGGAACTAATTCCTATTTGTAATCTCAGCAAACTACGGCTCTCACAAAACACTGCAGTTACTGATGCTGTGTTAGTGACTGCCTTTTATAAGGAAATGCATTAAACTTTCCTCCTGCTCTAGCTACTCAGCACGTTCAGTGGGTATCACAGAGGCTAATTTTTAATGTGTCTATGGTAGAAGGCCAGTGCCCTGCTCAGCAGGGACACGTGGTGACACTGCCCAAACAGCACGTCAGGTGGGCTGACAGGAATTTGCTATTGTCAGCAGCAGTGAGTGGGATTAGTCTGCTGTTTGATTAACACACTGCAGCACTGCACATCCTATCTTTCTAGTATCATGTAATCCTCGGAAAGTGAACCCGATTTTTTAAATTAAATATATGATTCAGCACCTGCAGTTACAGTAAACCAAGGTTAGATTACAGGAGCTGCTCTACAAACTGTAAGGTGTTAAAATTCCTTGTATCGTGGTGTTTCACTGAATAGTGAACAGTCTGCCAAGTAAGACTGAAAAGTGACACCACATTCTGTTGTAATCATCATGAAAAGAACGTATTTGCTGGGAGGATCTTTAGTCTGAAATGTTACATGTTCTTTCCATGAGTTGAGTTCTTCATTATTAAGATCATGGTTCAGCCTTTGTTTCTCAAGTATTCATGTGCCTGTTGACAAGGTCACAGGATGTTTTTTCCTTCATTTTATTGTACTCCTGTAAAAACAAACAAACAAGTCAACTGAAGGGCTTTCTACAAGAGCCAAACAAAACATAAGATCTTAATGCAGCAAGACAACAGCAATACAGCAGGAAAGGTGTAGCCTCTGCAACTGAAGTCTGGGTAAGGAAGTAGTTCACAGTTTCTACAGAGTAAAACTGCAGTAACATGAATGACTGAATTACAGATTTTAGACTTTACTGAACAGTAAAATGGTATTACAACTGTCTTCTCTGTTAAGTGGTTTAAGTGAACTATTACAAGAAACTCATCCTAACAGGGTGATTTTACTTTTTTTTTTTTTTAGAATAGGAGCAAGTCGAGTTTTTTCTCTGCCTTTTTACCAGCTTTACTCCAAATTTTAGTTTGAATGAGGTCCCAATGTCTATAGAACATTTCTGCTTCCAACAGCACACCAGAGGATGAGTTCTCCAGTGTTCATATATTAGGTTGTCACTTCTTTAGGTCCAGCAGTGGCTCAAGCATGAACACGAGAACAGACCTGCCTCTAAGACAGGCCTACTGTGTTTATGTTACACATTTTCCATGAGGTAACCGACATGGAATAAGAAACTTTCAGGCAGTTAACAGCTAATTACTTCTACATTATCAGGAGTGGATTTTGCAAGGAGTTACCTTTTATGAGCTGGTCTCTGGAATGGTAGGAAGGTGTGTTATTCTGTAGTAGCTGTGTTTGAGCTGCCGTGCTGTACGTCCAGACACAATCCACTTTAATTTCTGGACATTTGGTTTGGAGCACTTGCTCGAGGAATATTCTGTAAGGCACTTTAAAACCAGTTCCTTCCAGAAGGTCAAATCTCTGTTGTTTATCTAAACAGCAAGACAGAAAAGATTCTGTCACTAATAACTAGTTAAATCCTTATTTCATACATGTACTTCCAGCTTCTTCATCTAAAATTTGGCCAAATATCCCAGGCCAAATGGAAAAAAAAACAACAAAACACCACAACAAAGACAGAAAAGAAACCACTATGACAATGCACCTGCCCCTTCCCCACTGTGTAGACCCTTGCATGCATTTTAATTCTGTCCTCCCCTGAAACTTTGTGTGTACATACCTTGGAATGCAACTGCAGAAATTCCAATGCCTCTGTCAACTCCAGCAGCTTTTGTTCTTCTATCTCTAGTGCCATAATAGACAGTGCCAAGACAGAAGGCTGGAGAGAGAGACAACGTTTTTGAACACTGCTTTGTTAAGTTTCAGTAGTTTCACTGTCTTTGAACTTTCAAGATGTTTACCTTGGCTTTAGAAAACATGATTCTGCAGTGACAGGCCTTAAGCTGAGTCTCAAGTCTCTCAAAATTAAGGTACTTTCTCCTAGAATAAAAACAGACAAGTGAATGTAGAAAAATGCAAGCTTGAGCAGGGCAGCATCACCCTGGGAACTCACAGAAGCAGCAACAATGTTCATTATCTAAACAAAGACCTCGTTTGTCCCCAAAGTTCTAGGGTTACAGTCAAACAGGTGTTCAGCTTTGGCAGTCCTAGTGCTAAAAATAAATGTTGTGTTACGCTGGGGAGAGTTGCATTGTCAAAACAGGTTTAACAACAGGGAATTTTAGTGCTTACTAGCAAAAGGAATCTTTTTTAAGCCAGATTTTGCAATCTTTGCAATAAGGCAATACTTTAATGCAGCATAAGCAGAGATTCATTATACTATCATTACTGAGCAAGTTTGGTTTTCAGCTCAGAGAGCAATACTCTTTAGATCAATTTATGCAAACAATGTTTAAAATAATATTAAACCACACATACTCACATTTATGATATTTACCAATAAAGAGAAAAGTTTGTGGGATTTTTAAAGTATAGAAAGGCCAATTACTTGAGCAATTTCGCTGCTTATTTTTCTGCATAGGCTTCCTGATCATATGCAGTTAAGAGCAAAATTAGTATTAGCTATTTTACCTTTCACAGCTTAAATTCTCGTGAACCAGTGAATGATACAGCTGTAGAAATTGGAAGGCTGTTGTAGCTTTCACTTTCCAACTCAGCTTCTCCAATATGATTTTCTCCATTCTCATCATATCAGAAACAGTGAACCTGTACTGGCTTATCCGAATTAAGTCAGTGGCCAAGGGCACATTTCTTTCTTCTTCTGATGCCTTCACAGCCAAGTAGAAGCAGCTGAGTCCAACACAGCCCAAGTGTTTAGGCTGCACCTAAAGAAAAATTAATTGTTGTTACCTTCAGAGAGGAAGGTAATGGCTTTGATCAGCCATTACAACATGTAAGTACCAAACTGCAGGCACCAATGTATTGTAGGAAAAAATTATGGGAGGCAGGGGAGGCTGTTCTGTTTTTTGGAGATTGAGAACTAAGTCTTTTACATTATATTCTTTTTATTTAACCAAAGAAGAAGACACACACTACAAGTTCCATCTTATTCATCTAAAAAGCAAGATTGCAGAACAATATATTTTGATTGAGGTAGAACTAGTTTCTTAATGAGGTTCTATAATAGCCTAATCAAAAGCTTTTAGGACTTTAAGTGTTGTACATATTGATACAAAAAAAAATTGGAGTTTTCTAACTCTTTTAAAAAATATATATACACACACATATATATATATGTACATATATATATAGATTTATTCACAGACATTGCAGTCCACATTTTTACTGCTTATTTTGGATTCAGAAGTCTTTCAAATCATCATTTTCCCATGCAGCTTTCTCATTTTTGTTTTAACACACAAGGAAAACAAGCTTTTGTTCTTGTCCAGATTGTACAGTGGTAATCCTGTCTTGTCAGACAATTAAAAACAACCCAGGTCAGCATGTCACTTCTGCACAGGAGAATGGAGTGCTAACTGATGTTTCACCAGACTCTGAGTGCTGAACAGCATCTTGATATACACAGGCAGGTTGAAAAGGCAGTTAAATAAGAAGTAATTTAAGATGTTCTTGTATCCATGTGACAGGAAAGACAGTTTGTCTTGGTCTAACCCATTAGATGCTCTGCATTTCCCAGCCTATGGGCATCCTAAAGTTGACACTGATGCCCCATTCCTTGTCTTCTCCAGAGGAAACAGCTTTCTTAAGAATACAAAAATCTGAACAGGGTACATCTGGTGCAATCAGAATCTATGGAAGGAGCTAAACCTTTAGCCATCTAAACCCAGTATGTTCTAACGCAATGAGCAGGAGCTAACGACTGAGAGCTTACACTTTAAAAAGCCTTACCTTCATTTTGGACAAGAATCTATCCAAGAAATTCACAGCCAGGGAAAACGTCTCCGTGTGGAAGCCAAAGAACTGAGTTAAGCTGAGCAGGTCTTTCACTTCGAAGTCCCGCAGCCGGGCAGTCATTCGGAGGCCATTGTCGTGAGCAGCCTCGACCAGCCGGAGCCCGGCGGGCTTGGGCTGAGCCCGCAGCTCCTGCTCCAGCAGCGCCGAGAGCTGGAGCAGCAGCTCCTCGGCCTCGGTGCTCGCCAGGGTGTCGATCATCTGCAACAACGAAACACCCGCGAGTGTGTCAAGCAGCCGAACGGGGGAAAACTCACCGAGTTACAGCCGCCTCTAAAGCAAAGGCACACGGCCGGGCACACGCGGGGTCAGCCCCAGCCCCAGTGATTCCCGGGTTATCCCCAGCCGCGGGTGATTCCCGGGATGTGCGGGGGGTGT